AACTGTCATTAATTTAGTATTATTGTAATGGATTTATTAATTATGGTTTATCTGATTTAATTTAGTTGCCTTAACAAATATAGCTTTATTTTTTTTCTCAGAGTTCCTAAATTTTTGTTCTTTTTTTTTCTTTTAATAGATTTAGGGGGGTACAAGTTGAATTTCATTACATGTATATATTGTATAGTGGTAAAGTCTGGGCTTTTAGTGTACTCACAGGAATAGTGTACATTGTACCCCATAAAAATTTTAATAGATTTAGGGGGGTACAAGTTGAATTCCATTACATGTATATATTGTATAGTGGTAAAGTCTGGGCTTTTAGTGTACTCACAGGAATAGTGTACATTGTACCCCATAGGTAATTACTTCTCCCCCCTTTTGAGTTTCCAATGTCATTGTGCCACTCTATGTGTCCTCTTGTGTAGCCATAGTTTAGCTCCCTCTTATAAGTGAGAACATGTGGCATTTATTTTTCTGTTCCTTAGTTTACTTCACTTAGGATAATGGCCTCCAGTTCTATCCAAGTTGCTGCAAAAGACATCTAAGCATTTAACATTAAGTTTGTAAGAACAGGATCCAAATCCAGTGATTTTTCTGATTATTTATTTATTTATTCATTAATTATTTATTTCTGGAGCTTAAGGTATGTTTATCCTATGGAGAAAAGCTCATACTTTTATTAGGTGTTTTGAGAATCTCATATTAGGGAGGAACAGGTTTTATTGGAAAAAAATCTTTCATGTGACTGCAGTACAGTAGAAGTGGGTATCTTGGTTGGTGCCCAGGTTTTAAGTGGAAAGAAGAAACACTACTAGAGGAATGTGAGGGAGGAGAATTCAAGGCTGAACAATGATTGGGGAAAGAGTCAAGAAAGTGAAAGACTGGTATAAGATTTGTTTAAATAGATCTTAAAACTCAAATGGCAACAAGTTAAAGAACTAGTTTAACTGATATTCAAAAACATTTCAGTGCTGAAAACAGCTTTTTAAAATAAATCTGCATATATAAATTTTACATATCATTGAAGTTTCACCTTCAAAGTAATAAAATCTTTATAGTTGAATTTTTAGTGGATATGCCGTTATAAATTTAACTATTTATTTTGGTGTTCTATTACTCAGTTTAACCTTTTCTTGATGAGATGTGACTCAATTTGAACACTAATTTCAGTTTGGCATTAAGCAGGGCTTACATTAAGCATGCAGTACATATTTAATGAATGAATGAATGAACTAATGAATTGTACCCTTTACTTTTAGAGCTAACTAACCAGTCAAGTGTCCTCCCCTGAGTATATTCTTTGTCCATTTTTCTATTGGATTTACAATGTTGTCATTGACTTACAATGTTCTTCATATATTTTGGATACTCTCTCTTTTGGTAGTTTCATTACACATGTGTTCTCTCATTTGGTAGTTTGTCTTGTCTTTCTGTCCATTTATTTATCTGTCTATGAAGATTAGTTTATGGCTTTAGTGGTCAAATTTATCAATCTTTTCCCTAAAGTTTTATAGAGTTTAAAAAAGTCTTATGTAAAAATCCTTTATAATCGCCAAGATTGTAAATATTTATTTCTCTGTGTTTTCTTCTAAGCCTTTTACATTTTTGCCTATAATACTTAAATATCAATCTATGTTCAAATGAATGATTTTTGGGCCTGTTATTAGGTAGACGCTCATTTCATTTTTTTTTCTTAAGGACAAACACTTGTCCTAGCACCATTTATTAAATATGTCCTTTACTCACTGATTTAATGTCTCTTCTATGTTATGTTAAGTTTCCATGTTTGTCTAAGTCTGCTGTTGTAACTTTTTGCTTTCTTCCAAGATCTACAATAGTCCACCTTTTCTTTTCCTCCTATAGTTCATATATTTTTCTACCTTTCTTGTTTGACACATTTTTGTTAGATTTTAAGTCAACTCTGTCACACTTTTATGAGATAGGGTAAATATTATATTATTTTAAGTATTCTTCATTTTTTTTTCCAACCATGGCATGTACCTTATTTAATTGCCTAGAAAGAATTTCTGTTTGTTCATATTATCTCTCTTTGTTGGTGTTTTTTTTTTTTTTTAAGATTCATCACTTTTTTTTGTATTCTGTTTAATGACAGAAGTATTAGAGTTGAAAGTACAATTGAAAATGGTTATAAATCTTTATTTAATTTTAAGATGCAAAAGACATTTCTTATAAATAAATTAAGAATAATTTTTTCTAAACTGCTAACATTTTGATTAATACTATAGAAAACAATATTTTTTTAGGCAATTTGATTTTTATGTACAAGTAAGCAGTATATTATGCTTTGCTTGAAATTAACTAGTCTTCTTTCTTTTTTTTAGATGGCTGGAATCCATTTTCACACCCATATAAAAAACTGGATTTTGGAAAATGGGAGCTGTATATCCCACCAAAGCAGGATAGATCTGTACCGGTACCTCATGGGTCCAAATTAAAGGTATATTGCTCCTTCCTATTTTTACTTGAACTTATCATTTTCTTTTTATCCTGTGTACAAAGTTTGATTTAAAAGATTGGAATGTATAATTGACGAGTGATAATTGTGGGAGATATTGTTTAAATATCCAAATAGAGGAAAGTTTAAGAGAGAACATCAAAAATTTGGATGTAGATTACAACTATTTGTCTGGTAAGGTACCAAACCTAGTTGTATTATTATCACACATTTAGAAACTTTATAAAAGAAATGATATATAAAAAGTGATTTTGAGTACTTACAAAAGTTTAGCATGGAAAACAGTTTAATAAAATAATGAAAACTATCTTCAAATCAGCAAGTGTAGAAAAGATTTTTATCCTTAAAGAGAGTCTTAATAAAATTGATTTTGTGGTAGGCCACATGAATGTGGGAGGGGATACTATGTTGGAGGCTCATACATTTTGGGAACATGCTTTTCCTGTTTATTCACCTTTCTGGCCTATGACATGGGTATATGTGGGGTCTTTCTCCTATTCTCCTGTGGTAAGGCCACCTGGATCAGCCCAAGGGCCTTCCCTATGAGAGGCACACTGAGCATCCTCCACACTCCCTATGCTTTGTCTGGCCATGTGATTCTGCATTCAAGGTCTGAGGAGCAGATGCAACTATCCTCTTTTGTCTCCTCAAGAGATGTTTGAAGGATGGGCTCCAAAGTCTAGATTACAGATTTAAGGCATTTGATTATAAAAGAAGGTGTCTAAATGCTTTCACATTTACTTAATTTTAGCCCATGCTCATATAATTGCATAATATTTCCATGTCTCTTGTGTCTCTTTGCCTTCCTTAGATATTTATCATGATAAATCCTGTGATAGAGTTGTTATTTTTATTGGTATTTGTTATTTAACAGTATTAACTCGAAGTTACTTAAAATACATTGAAAATCAAAATGCATAGTATGCTTTGCAGGTTTTTAAACTTTTTTTTACAGACAATGAAATTATAAGTGTATGTGAAAGTTACTGAAATATTGGTACACATAATACTGTAAACAGAGAAACATGCTATATGATAAAAGGAGACATTTAAATGGGAGATGGAAGCCAAGGTTCTTTTTAATCTGTGGTAAAAAAAGAAAAAGTAGCTACAGTATACAGTAAAATGACAGGGATTAAAATTTAATGTAATAATCCCTTTTCCATGTCAGTATAAGCTCCACAAGAACATGGCCTTTGTTGTTTTGTTTGCTATTACTGTATATTCTCAATTTTTAGAACGGTGCCTGGCAGAGTATGCACTCAGTAAATATTTCTTGAATGTTAAAGCCATTTTCAGGCACAATCTTTGAAGGAGAACACCAAACAGTTTGATTCTTTGATGGTTTTGTTAGATATAATTTTATATAACAGAACCTCTGGGGCAATGCAATTATTATCGTATTGGTTTCATTGTCGCTTTAGGTCTTGTGGTCACTTTTTTTTTTTTTTAAGAATTGAACTTACTACTTTTTAAAATTGTTACAGAAGTTTTTTCTGCCTTTTTCAATTAGAAAATTTTATGAACTCTGACATTTTACTTTTTAAATTAAATGTTGAATAATTAATTTCAATATGTTGTTTCTATACATGGGAAAAATAATTGATTATTAGGAATGAATGATTACTGACATATACTGGGAATTATGGTAGGCAATTACTTTTCCAATTTAACTCCAAATCTTTTATACTTCCTAAACTATGCTATATACTGTCTTCTATTCTCTTTCAAAAATTTGCTTTACCTTGATGAAATGAAATAATATGATAATAAAAAAAATGGCTTTTGTATTGTTGCCTGGCTTTTAAAATCTGTGTTTAACAGCAAATAAATGTTCAAAAAGTATCAGACAAACTGTTCTGTAATCCTTCTTCATTACTATTCTCTAAAAATTTCAGTGAGGATAATTTACTAGAAATTTATGCTCAAAATATTATTCATAATCTTTAGATATTTCAAATGTTGAGGAAACATTTAGATACTATTATAATATAGTCATGCGTTGTTAACTAAGGGGATATGTTCTGAGAAATGTACCTTTAGGTGATTTCATTGTTCTGTGAACATTATGAGTATATTTACGCAAACCTACTGCACACCTAGGCTATGTGTTGCAGCCTATTGTTCTTAGGCGACAAACCTGTATAGCATGTTACTGTACTGAATATTGTAGGCAATTATAATACAGTGGTAAGTATTTGTGTCTAAACATACCGAAACATAGAAGAGGAAAGTAAAAATATGGTATAAAAGATTAAAAAATGGTACAGCTGTATGGGGCACTTAACATGAATGGAGATTTCAGGATTGGAAATTATTCTGGGTGAGTCAATAAATGAGTGGTGAGTGAATGTAAATGCCTAGGATATTATTGTATGCCACTGTAGATTTTATAAACACTGTACACTTATGCCCCACTAAATTTATAAACATTTTTCTTTCTTCAACATTAAATGAAACTTGTCTTACTGCAACTTTTATATTAAATGCTTTATTAACTTTTTAAACTTTTGACTCTTTTGTAATAACACTTAAGGTACAAATCTGTACCCTATAAATACATTGCACACCTGTAAAAAAATATTTTCTTTCTATTCTTATTTTATAAGCTTTTTTCTATTTTTAAAATTAAAAAATTGTATCTTTAAACTTTTTTGTTAAGAACTAAGACACAAACACATGTTAGCCTAGGCCTACACAGGGTCAGGATCATCATCAACATCGCTGTCTTCCATCTCCATATCTTGTCCCACTGGAATGTCTGCAGGGGCAATAACACGCAATGGAGCTGTCGTCTCCTATGATAACAGTGCCTTCTTCTGGGATGCCTCCTGAAGGACCTGCCTGAGGCTGTTTTACAGTTAACTTGTTTTTTCATAAATAGGAGTACACTAGAAAATAACAATAACAACTAAGTATAGAAGTACATAAACTAGTAACATAGTTGTTTATTATCAATATCAAGTATTATGTACTATACATAATTGTATGTGCTATACTTTTATATGACCGGGAGGGCAATAGGTTTGTTTACACCAAAATTACCACAAACTCCTGAGTAGTGCTTATGCTACAATGTTATGGCGTTATGAAGTCACTAGGTGATAGAAATTTTTCAGCTCCATTGTAATCTTCTGGGACCACCATCAGGTATGTGATCCATCGTTGACTGAAGTGTCATTATGTGGTGCATGACTGTAATATGGTGATATAGTTATTCATTTATGAGAAATGTATCAGATTTTCTTTAGGGGAGGGGTTAAATTCTTTATGAAAATAAACTAACTTGAGGTTTTTGGCCTTTTAATCTAAAGTTGTCTCTAGGTAGTCTATTTTGTTAATTAAAAATCTTCTATTAGATTGAACTTGAAAATTTATTTCATTCCACAAAGGATTGACCTTTATAATTCACTTGAGGATATCTCTCTTATGAATATCTCGTAACCATTAACAAAAAAGAACTGTTACCTACCATTGAAATAATAGTTTTATTTTCTCTGCAAAACACCTGATCTTTTCAATTGAACACTGACAAACTAACTACTCATATGTTATGTAAATGTCCCCTTTTATGTTTTTAAATGAGTTTATCAAACAAAATATTTTAAAAATAAAATATAATACAGTGAATTAAACATTCACAGCTGTAAAGTATAAGGGAAGAATAGAAGACTACTTTCCTGAAGGATAGACATATATTATTCATGTCTTTAACACTGTTTTCTTTGGATGCATAACAAAACTAATTTATTTAAAGGTATTTCTGTTCACTATTTTAAAATATATACCTTTAATAACATTATTATATAAAAAAACATTTCCCAAGTCGTTTTATAGCAATTTAACATAATTGTTGAGTGTCTACTCTGTATCAAGTGCAGCCCTTGATCTATGATGCTTTTACTGCATTTTGATATAGGTATATATGTGTATGTACTTTAAACATAAAGTGCTACTGGAGCAAAAAGAAAATGAGTAAACAGTTTATTCTATGATGGTAACAGAGGAAATACAGAGGGGCAATGCTATGCCAGTGCACTTGGAAACATGTTTAGAAGTTCACCAGAGAGACAGAAGCATATTCATCCTGAGAGTGCTGCATGAGCAAAAGTGAGTGTATTGATTGATGTCCCAACGGGAAGCAAATGGCACACTCAAAATAGTTTGAATAGGTTTTATTTTCACAAAGGCTGTTTTCAAAGTTGAATGTTCAGGGGAATCACCAGAGAGTTCAAAGGAGGATAGGGTCAGGGGCCATCTGAATAACCTTGCTTTGGCCACAGAAAGCAAGGGATCAATTACTAGAACACCAAGGGAAAAAGAGTGAGCCATCTTGAAAGGAGCACCCTGCTTTGGTTGAGGGCTACAGTTAATTCGTGGTAGCTTTCAGGGAAGGAGCCACAGGAGTAAGGGAAACAAATACCCTGATGTGTCACTCTCCTCCTTCTCTCTGACCTCTTGCTGGGGCTCCACCTTGGCCAAAGCCAATGTGAAGCTAGAGTTCTGGGAAATATGCTCCATGTTCTGAGACAGAGATCTATATGAAGAGTGTGTTCATCTTAGCAAGCAAAATGTAGCTCACTTTTAGGAGGTTAGGAAAGGCAAACCTGAAAGGTGAGTGGGAGGCAAACTGAAAGGTTCCTTTTCTTCTAATTCCTATTTTCTCTTCTTTTATCATTCCAGTTAATACCCGAATTACTAGCAATGACTTTTAGGATTATCTTCTTTTTAGTGTTTAGGATGTTTGTGTATTTTAACTGTTCCTTGTTGACCAGAAGAAACAGGGACCAGATGGAACAGAAGTTTCTTAATACCAGCCATTTAATATTTCCAAAGGATCCTCTTGGTTCAGGTTGCCATAACAAAATATTTTAGACTAGGTAGCTTAAATAACAGAAAGTTATTTTCTCGCAGTTCTGGAGGCTGGAAGTCCTAGGTGTTATCATGGTTGTGTTCTGATGAAGGCTCTATGCTGGCTGGCA